CCCTCCCTCTACTGACCCCTTCTCCCGCCTCCAACACACCCCCTCCTCCTGGACACCACCCCAAGGCCTCCTATCCTCCCTCGACCTCTTCATCTCCAACTGCTGTCGAGACATCAATCGCCTCAACCCCTCCACCCCTCTCATTCACTCCAACCTCTCCCCCACAGAACGTGCAGCTCTCCGCTCCAATCCCAACCTCACCATAAAACCCGCAGACAAGGGAAGCGCAGTTGTAGTATGGCGCACTGACTTCTACATCGCCGAGGCCAGGCGCCAACTCTCCGACACCTCCTCCTACCCCCTCCTTGATCATGACCCCACCCCCGACCACCAAAACATCATCTCCCAAACCATCCACAACCTCATCACTTCAGGTGACCTCCCACCCACAGCCTCCAAACTCATCGTTCCCCATACCCGCACCGCCCGCTTCTATCTCCTTCCCAAAATCCACAAATCTGACTGCCCTGGTCGACCCATTGTCTCCGCCTGCTCCTGCCCCACTGAACTGATCTCTACTTATCTCGACTCCATTTACTCCCCCTTGGTCCAGCAACTCCCCACCTACATCCGTGACACCACCCACGCCCTCCACCTCCTCCAGAACTTCCAATTCCCGGGTCTCCAACACCTCATCTTTACCATGGGCGTCCAGTCCCTATACACCTGCATTCCCCATGCAGATGGCCGAAAGGCCCTCCGCTTCTTCCTGTCCCGCAGGCCCGACCAGTCCCCCTCCACTGACACCCTCATCCGCTTAGCCGAACTCGTCCTCACCCTTAACTTCTCTTTCAATTCCTCCCACTTCTTACAGACAAAGGGGGTGACCATGGGTACCTGCATGGGCCCAAGCTATGCATAACTCTTTGTAGGTTACGTGGAACAATCCCTCTTCCGTAGCTACACTGGCCCTAAACCCCACCTCTTCTTCCGTTACATCGATGGCTGTATTGGCACCGATATCCATTTCAAGCCCACCGACTCCCACAGCTACCTAGAATACACCTCGTCCCATCCACCTTCCTGCAAAAATGCCAACCCCTATTCCCAATTCCTTCGCCTCCGCCATATCTGCTCCCAGGATGAGGCATTCCACTCCCAAACATCAGATGTCCTCATTTTTCAAGGACCGCAACTTCCCCCCCTCGAGAATGCCCTCGACCGTGTCTCCCACATTTCCCGCAACTCATCGCGCACACCCCCACCCCGCAATAACAACCAAAACAGAATCCCCCTCATCCTCACGTACCAACCCACCAACCTCCGGATCCAACGCATCATCCTCCGACACTTCCGCCATCTGCAATCCGACTCCAGCACCAAAGACATTTTTCCCTCACCACCCTTATCTGCTGTCCGGAGGGACCACTCTCTCCGTGACTCCCTTGTCCGCTCCATACTCCCCTCCAGCCCCACCACACCCGGCTCTTTTCCCTGCAACCGCAGGAAGTGCTACACCTGCCCCTACTCCTCCCCCCTCACCCCCATCCCAGGCCCCAAGACTTTCCACATCAAGCAGATGTTCACCTGCACATCTCCTAATGTGGTATACTGTACCCGCTGTTCCTGTTGTGGCCTCCTCTACATCGGGGAAACCAAGCGGAGGCTTGGGGACCGCTTTGCAGAACACCTACGCTTGGTTCGCACTAAACAACTGCACCTCCCAGTCGCGAACCATTTCAACTCCCCCTCCCACTCCTCAGACGACATGTCCATCCTGGGCCTCCTGCAGTGCCACAACGATGCCACCCGAAGGTTGCAGGAACAGCAACTCATATTCCGCTTGGGAACCCTGCAGCCCAATGGTATCAATGTGGATTTCACAAGCTTCAAAATCTCCCCTCCCCCGATCGCATCCCAAAACCAGCCCAGCTTGTCCCCGCCTCCCTAACCTGTCCTTCCTCCCACCCATCCCCTCCTCCCACCTCAAGCCCCACCCCCATCTCCTACCTGATAGCCTCATCCCACCCCCTTGACCTGTTTGTCCTCCCTAGACGGACCTGTCTGCTCCCTAACTCCCCACCTACACTCACCTTTACTGGCTCCCTTCCCGCCTCTTTGACCTGTCTGTCTCCTCTATCCATCTACTATCCACCTCCCACTCTCTCCCTATTTATTTCAGAACCCCCTTCCCCTCCCCCATTTCTGATGAAGGGTCTAGGCTCGAAACGTCAGCCTTTCTGCTCCTATGCTGCTGCTTGGCCTGCTGTGTTCATCCAGCTCTGCACCTTGTTGTCTCGGATTCTCCAGCATCTGCAGTTCCTACTATCTCCGAATCCCACAGCTACCTGGGCTATACATCCTCGCACCCTGCTTCCTGTAAAGACTCCATCTCATTCTCAACTGGGTCGGACCCATCTCCCGCACTTCCGCCCTCCCCCTCTCTTCCCTCCCGCAGCAGCAATAGGGTTCCCCTTGTCCTTACATACCATCCCACCAGCATCCACATCCAGAGGATCATCAGGCGCAATTTCTGCCACCTCCAGCAAGATGCCACCACCAGACACATATTCCCATCCCCTCTCTTGTCTGCCTTTCGCAGGGACTATTCCCTCCAGTACACCCTCGTCCACTCTTCCTTCACCCCCCAACTCCCCTCTCACAGCCCCACGGCATCGTCCACTGCAACCGGCGAAGGTGTAACATCTTCCCATTTACCTCCTCCCTCACCAGTATCTAAGGGCCCAAACATACTTTCCAGGTGAAGCAACACTTCACCTGCACTTCCCACAATCTAGTCTGCTCACAATGTGAGCTCCTCTACATTGGGGAAACGAAGCGTAGACTGGGTGACCACTTCACAGAACATCTACATTCTGCTCGCATAAAAGATCCTGAACTTCCGGCTGTCCGCCACTTTCACACACCACCCTGTTCACTAGCCAACATCTGTGTCTCAGGCTTGCTGCAGTGTTTCATAGAAGCTCAACGCAAGCTGGAATAACAATGCAGCATTTTCCACTGCAGCCCTTTGGACTCAATAGAGTTCAACAATCTTAGGGCCTAAACTCTCCCATGTCCTAGCCCCCATCCCACACACCAGGCCTCGTTTTCACTTAGTGACTGACGATAGATAGTGTGTAATGGCAGCCTAAAAGTGCCCATTAACATTTATTCACCCTCCTAGCCAGATCGTTCTCAACTCCTTTGTCTATGCAACTGCTCTTCTCTCTCTCTTTGGGCTCAATCCTTCCTCCTATTGTTTGCTCCCTACCCCAACCCCCTCCCTATCCCCTCCATAGGAACCAATGTTTTCTTAGCTACCGTCAGTTCTGAGGAAGGGTCACCGGACCCAAATTGTTACCTGATTTTTTTTTCTACAAATGCTGCCAGACCTGCTGAGCTTTTCCAGCAACTTCTGTTTTTGCTCCTGATTTACAGCATCCTCAGTTTGTTCGGTTTTTATGATCAGCTAGTGAACTGTGTACAAGTTTACGTCCATTTTATGTAAAATATGTAAAATCTACAACATGCGCTGTAACAACTAGCAAACCCCTCTGACCGCACCTTTCAAATCAGTGACAAGGGCAACAGATAAGTTGGAACACTACTCTGCATATTACCCTCCAAACAACCCAAACCTAGAACTTTACACCCTTCCTAACAGCACTGTGAATGTCTTTTCACTGCATGGACTGCGAAGGTTCATGAATGCGGGTCAAACCATCACTTCTTAAGTAATACGGGGGCAATAAATGCGGTCCCCATCCTTGAATGACTTTTTTTTTAAAATCAGCGCAGAACATTTGACAATGCTGTTGTTATTTCAGTGTCGTTAAGATCTTTGCAGCTGGGAAGCTTAAAATCAATGGCGCAAAACTGAAAGAAATATATGTTGTTTTGTATGGATGGATGCATGTAATTTATTGCTAAGTCGGTCACGAAACCTTTAGACATCTGACTATTCTTTTAAAAAAAATAATACTACTGCTACGAAAAAAAAGTCCATTTCATACGCAGCGAATAAAAGACCGAAAAACAATAGTCAAAACAACTATCCCAACACCCCTCCCGCGAAGGAGGAGGAGGGGGAGATCAGTCTACACATGCGCTGTGCGGAGCTCCAACAAGAGACAGAAACAGGCAGTAAGCGAGAGCCCTACGTCAGGCAAGCACCAGAGGACCAGATACTGTGAAACTAAATTCTCACACTTGAATTAAAGGATTCCACACGCCGTTCAAACACCTTTATTTCATTTCTCTCTCTTCTCCTCCCCACCAACTAAACAGATTCGGTCTACACCCTCCGTCTCCATCCCTCCTCATCTCTTCCTCACTCTAACGAAGGAAGCCCGTTGCCCTGGCTCCGTTGGGAATCAGAGATAACAAGGTGTAGAGCTGGATGAACACAGCTGGCCAAGCAGCATCAGAGGAACAGGAAAGCTGACGTTTCGGGTCTGGACCGTTCTTCAGAAATGGGGGTGGGGAAGGGGATTCTGAAATAAATAGGGAGAGAGGGGGAGGCGGATAGATAAAGGAGATAAAGATGGATGAAGGAGAAGATAGGTGGAGAGCACTCCAGTTCTGAGGAAGGGAGTCACTCGACACGAAACGTTAACTCTGATTTCACTCCTCAGAATGCCGCCAAACCTGCTGAGCTTCTCCGGCAGTTTCTGATTTTTTTTGTTGCCCTCCCCCCTCCGCTTGTCTCCGATTTCCAACATCCGCAGTTATTTCGGTTTTTATTTGGTTAGAAATCAGACGTTCAGTCCGAGCCCGCGACTGTCCAGCGTCGCCGGCGGTGACGGGCAGCCACTCAACACCGTGTCTGCGGAGCTGCACTAAATTACACCGGTTCTTAAAAAAAATACAAGAGCGTGCTATCCTCGAAATAAAATCATCAATACTGATGCCCACTAAAGCAGAAATGAACTGCAATTTGTAAAACACTGTAGCATTTTTTTAAAAATAAAAGCCTACTGCGCACTACTTTTTGTATATAGGAAAATAATTTTCATCCAGCATTTACACAACGATGTAATACCGCCGCGGGAAATTACCTGATTTTCTCTCTGATTGCAGGAAGATATCTGAAACTGAGGTTTAAGCGTCCGTAATAATTTACATGATTTAATTTACCAGTTATCCATCAGCCATGAACACCTTCCTTTCTGCAATAACTGCCAACGCCGCTCGAGCTCAGCGTTATCTCCTCGCGCAGGCCCCGTGCGCGAGGTTCACTGGGAGAGTCCCACTGACCCAATTCTCTCCATTTGTTGTGATTGTGTGGGAGGGGAGGAGTCACTGTTGTACAAGACAGTCCCACTGACCCAATTCTCGCCATTTTCTACACTGATCCATGTCAAAGAGCTGGATCTCGGTGTGCAGGGTACAAGCTCAAAGTCTGCAGATGGCACTAAACTTTGAGAAATTGCAAACAGTGTGGAACTCCGAAAGGACCATTTACAAGTTAGGAGGTTAGGTGGCAGGTGAGGTTCAAGTGTGACGCCTCCGTTGGGAGAAGATTGAGAGACAACATAAAGTTCGGTTCAAGGCAGAGGGGATGCAAGAGTAGAGAGACCTTATATAGACCTGCACAGACTACTGAATGTGGCAGGAGAGATGGAGAGAGCAGGTGATAGATGATATAAAACTTGGACTTAGTATGAATTGTGAAGGACGGGTAGTGTAGAACTTCAAAATGGTATAAACAAGGTTGTGGAATGAGACAAGTGACAGATGAAATTTAATGAAGAGAAGGGTGAAGTGATTCATTCCAGTTGGAAGAATGCGGAAAGACAATAGAAAATATCGGGTACAATTCTAAAGAAAGGCCAGGAGCAGAAGGATCTGAATGTAAATTTGTATGCATCATTTAAGGTTGAGGAACCATTAGTAAAATATACAACGTCTGGGCCCTATTCAGTACAAAAATGAAGGTGTTTTGTTAAGCTGTATAAAACATTGCTGCAACCTCAACTGAAGTATAAGCACCAAACTTCAAGAAGAATGTGAAAGTGTTGAAGATAGTGCAGAAAAGATGTGCAAGAATGGTCCCAAGAGTAAGATTTTTCAGTTTCATATATATAGAAGAAATTGCAAGTTTTGGAGCAGTAAATGTTTTGAGGAGTTTGATAGAGGTATTCAAAATCCTGAGGCATTTAGACAAAGCAGATGAGGAGAAACTTTTCCTTTTGGTGAAAGGATCAAGAACCAATGTAGTGGACACTCCATTTCTGCTAAAAGTGCTCACCTTGTAAGTCAGTGTATGAGATCAAGCAAACGCATTCCAAGACACAAGCCCCTCATTGAACACACCATGGATGGCAAATGTCTAACAGGAACAGATCTTCCAGCAAAAAGAATAAAGTGGAAAGCTGGTTTCAAGAAAAAGATTACAACATTTGTGAACTTATTAAATAACTGTGCTGCAGCTAAGGAATTTATTGCAGTGAGAAACACTTGAAGAAGATACTGAAGACCAAATATACCTTGAGAACAGTACAGCTCACTGACCAGATCTCAAGAAGCATATTTCAGATTGAGTTTTCAAACATCATGTGTTTGGTTTTATTTTCACTAGAAATGCAACCTGTAGGCATTTTAGTACACCAAATCAAACTGACTCCAGCAAAGATATCTAACAAACAGCTCATTGATGTGGCCTCTTCATGGAATGAATGTTGAGGCAAAAGACCACTAAGATTACCAAAAGAGCACAAAGCCAAAATTACCAATTTACAACAATTCATCGTCAGAAAAGACAAAAAAAGACAAGTCTTATTATATCACACTGGCAACATGGATGAAAGTTACTAAAGTTATTTCCAGAAACATAACTGTGGAATGGAAAAGTTTGAAAACCATTCTAGTGAAAACCACAGAACATGAAAAAGCAAGATGCATAATAGTACCAGCTCACATGGCTGAAACAAAAACAAAATACGGAAATGAAAAATGCCAAATCTGTCATGATCAGTGGCATTACCCGAAAAGGACAAATCGTATTTTTATAGGGAAAAAGCATGGAATGACACTAGGTGAGTTGTTCCTGCAGAAATCTTTCAGCAGATCTTACTTCTTTCTGGATAGAAACTGTCCCATCAGGCAAACGTAGAATGGGTTAATGAAAGGCAGGTCATGTTTAAGAAATTTACTGGAATTCTTTGAGGAAATTATGGGCATGATGGACAATAGGGAACTGGTGGATGTAGTGTCTCTGGATTTCCATAAGGCGTTCGACTAAAAAAGGATCAAGAACCAGCGGACACATATTTAAGGTAATTCACAAAGAAGCATCAACCACATTCAAAGCCTTTTCAGCACTGAATGGTTGGAATTTGAAATGCACTGCCAGACAATGTAGTGGACACTCCGTTTCAGCTAAAAGTGCTCAGCTTGTAAGTCAGTGTATGAGATCAAGCAAACACATTTCAAAACACAAGTCCATGCACAAAATGCTGCTGCATAAGATAAAGGTGCATGGCATCACAGGGTAATGTGTTAGCATGGATAGAGGATTTACACTGCCACAAACACTCTAGAGACAAAATTCCCAGAGGAATTATGGTTGGCGACTTTAACAACCAACCTCAAGCAGATGATGCTAAAATCTAACACATGTCCTGCCCCACCAGAGGACCAAATATTCTGGACCACTGCTGCACAACCATCAAAGACACCTACTGCTCAATTCCCCACCCACAGTTCAAAAAATCCGACCACAGTGCTGTATTCCTCCTCCCAGCTTGCAGGCGGAAGCTGAAATGGGAGAATCCTTCACGAAGTGAAGTACGGAGCTGGCCTGAGGCAGCGGAAGACCATCCCCGGGACTGCTTGGACTCGTGGACTGGAGTATTTTCAAGTGTTCAACGGAAAACCTAGACAGGTATGCCACCACCATCACAGACTTCATTAGCATCAAAGAAGTCAATCCAAGTGTTTCTGAACTGTAAAACTTGGATGAATCAGGAAATCCACTCCCTACCGAAAACCAGACATGCAGCATTCAAGTCAGGTGACCTGGACCAAAACAGAAAATCCAGACATGAACTCTGCAAAGCCATCAGGGAGGCCTAGAAGCAGTACCGGACCAAGTTAGAAGCCCAGACCTACCAAACAAACTCCTGCCATCTATGGCATTCTTCACATCCACATGGTGTGGTATGTAGGCTGCTGTCAGGATGGCGGAGGTGAAATCTCATGGTAGGTAGTAGGGACGGCATTTTACTGTAAGGTATTCTACGTGCGGGGAGCAGTGGGTTGCCAGGGTCGCTATGTCCGAGCACCAAGAAGTGTTGATCAGGAAGGATACCCCACTGCCCTTCGTCTTGCCCGAGGACGCCATGCGGTCCATGTGGTGTATGGAGAACCTGTCAGTTTGTAGGGCACAGTCGGGAATGGCAAAGCCTAAACAACATTACAGGATACAAAATGAAACAGTGTAAGATAACAGACAATGACACATCCCTCCTTGACACACTCAATGCTTTCTACGTTTGGTTTCAGCAGAATATCACCAGCGTAGCAACGCCTGCCCCGACAGCCCCAGATACACCTGTTCCCTCTGTCACTACTTTAGAAATCAGATCAGTCTTCCTCGGAGTCAACCCAAGGAAAGTGATGGGCCCGGATGGTGAGCACTGAGATCCTGTGCAGACCAACTGGCGGAGATATTCACCGACATCTTCAACCTGTCCCTCCTACAAGCCGGAGTCCCCACCTGTTTCAAGAAGACCACCATCATCCCCGTACCCATAAAAACACATGCAGTGTGCCTTAGTGACTACCGCCCAATAGCTCTGACTTCAATAAACATGAGAAACTGGTCATTCCCCACATCATGATCCCATGCAGTTTGCCTACCGACATAACAGATCCACAGAGAATGCCATATCCCTAGCCCTGCACTCATCCCTGGAACATCTGGACAACAAAGACGCCTACATCAGACTCCTGCTCGATGACTGTACGTCCGCCTTCAGCTCTATTATCCCCTCCAGACTGATCTCAAAACTGCGTGACCTTGATCTCGGCTCCAGTCTCTGCAATTGGATCCTCAGCTTTCTGATCCATAGGCTGCAATCAGTGATGATAGGTAACTGCACCTCCTCCACAATAATACTCAACACTGGAGCCCCCCATGGATGTGTCCTCAGCCCCCTACTGTACTCCCTGTACACCTACAACTGTGTTGCCAAATTCTGAACGAACGCCATCTACAAGTTTACTGATGACATCACCTTTGTGGGATAGATATCTAACAACAACAGGTCAAAAAATGAAAGGGAGATAGAGGGCTTGGTGACATGGCACAATGGAAACAATCTGTCTCTCAATGTCGGCAAAACTAAAGAACTGATCATCAACTTCAGAAAGAAGGGAGGAGAACACGTCCCCATCTACATCAACGGAACTGAGGTTGAGAGGGTGAAGAGCATCAAGTTCCTCAGAGTGACAACAACCGATGACCTGGACACATCGACATTTCTCAATGGACTTCTCACGTAGATGCGACAGTCAAGAAGGCACAGCAACGCCTCTTCTTCCTCAGGCGGCTCAGGAAATTTGATATGTCCATAGGGTCCCTCACCAACTTCTACAGATGCACTATTGAAAGCTACTGTCTGGGTACATAATGGCCTGGTATGGCAACTGCTGTGCCCAGGACAGTAAGAAACTACAGAAAGTTGTGTGCACAGCCAGACCATCTTGGAAGCCAACCTTGCATCCATGGACTCTATTTACATGGCTCGCTGCTGCGGAAAGGCAGCCAACATCATCAAAGACACATCACACCCTGATATGACCACCTACACCCTCTTCTGTCAGGCAGAAGATACAGAGGCCTAAACACATGCACAAGCCTGAACAGCTTCTTTGTGGCCGTTATCAGAATGTTGAATGGACCCCAGCCTCAAATAATGTAATTTGCAATGTAATCTGTATGCCTCTTAAGTATTTTTGATCTGTACATCCTTTGTTTGCTATGATCTGCCTGTACTGGTCATAAACAAAGCTTTTCACTGTATTTCGGTACATGTGACAATCAAATCAATCGATCAATCAATGGGGCAAGAGCAGGCTGAAACAATGGGTCTGCCTAGGCAGTCCTGTTTGTGGATTTTCGGAAGGAAGTAGAAGTGAGCTGTGCAGGGCTGGGGCCTATCAGCTTGGAGGCAGTGAGGGGGAAATGAGGTCAGTGACCGTGGTGGATACAATGGCCTGCTGT